ACACACACACGTGCACAGGCCTAGGTGGCGGACATTTGTACCTAGGGGGGTTCAAGAGAGTAAGATTCCTGATTCCATCATTCCCTCTGATGCCCTGAACAGTTGTGAGACCTTACAGAATCCCCGGGTAAAGAACGATTCCAGGTATTGCTTATGAACTTCAAGAAAGGGGAGAGAGGTTGAGATCCATAAATACAAACCAGAGAGGGTCTCCCTCCATGCAGAGATGGTAGTGGCCGGAGCTGCACAAACAATAACTAAGCCAGGAAAGGTCATTCTTTCCTGCCTTCCATGCCTAGGTGAGAACAGAAAAGAAGAGGCCATTGCAAGGATTCAGCCAGAGAGGGTCTGGGCTGATGGCCAGCACATCCCCACGGCTCAGGGCTGGCCTGGCACCTGTCAGGTTTCCTACGTCACTCCATCCACGCTTTACCATCTTCACCCTTATTTGTCCTCTTACAACTTCTGTTAGATCGAAGTTAAGGGTGTATTATAGTCATTTTATTTTTATCTTTTCTGTTAGATTGCTGGAAACCCACCACAGTGATGATGTCCCCTCTTTAACATGTACTTACACAGGCCAAGGATGGTTTTAACTCTCGCGTGCACTCAAAAAAGTCAAGACCAAGATCTTATCATTAGAAATGCAGATTATAACAGAAGGGGTGTTGGTTGTATGTTACCATAACTTTCCTCTCCAAAAACATTTGCATATACCCTATAATTGATAGTGGGAGATTTAGAAAAAAAGCAATTACTTGTCTTCCTTTTCCTTGTTAGGATATATTCAAGATACAATAAAAGAAACTTAGAAGACTCAGAAGAGAGTTCAGAGCAGGGAAGCTAGTGCGGATTAAAAAGCCCAGTCCTCCTGGGACTGAGAAATAACACAATTTGTTCACAGTCAAACAGCTCGTTAGTTGTGGAGCTGGGTTTATAACACAAGTCTTAACTCCCATGATACGGTGTAAATGGTACTCAGGTTTCTTGGCTTCCTGTTTCGATTCAATAAGCCCATCATTTTCACAAAAACAGTATCACATGCAAATGGTACTTTCCAGTGTTTGCTGATGGATTGGCAGATGGGACTTAGACTCTCACTGAAACCTGAATTTTATTCTTATTGCATCTGCGACAGGGTCATTGGTACCCCTGCCAGGCACAGAGAGGGGAGAGGATTCTGCTAATGCTTCCCAATTCCTTGGGGTGAGCCCAAATTACTCCAGTCTTAAGGGATTTGCAATAGCTGGCATTTTATCAGATTATGTAATAGTCATCTCCCCATCCTAACCCCCTATCAAAAGTGCAATCATGCACATCAAAATGACTGAAAGAAAGAAAGAAAGAAAGAAAGAAAGAAAGAAAGAAAGAAAGAAAAAGAAATGATTAGCATACCTCCTGGAGACAAACACAGCTACACTTCCGGTGTTGCAAACAAAGGCCATCACAACCCCTCCCTCTAGGAAAATTAATAATACATGAGGATTTTCAGGAATTGCTAGAAGTGTGACACCCATCCTTTCTAGAGTTCCCAGAAGAATGCTGATTTGTCTCCGACAAATAAGTTCATTTAATGCATGTAATGAAATTCAATTTGATTTTTAGACCTTTGCAAATGTTTCATGTCCATCAAACCATGCATCACAAAAAATTACCCCGTGTTGGACCTCGTGGGGGCTATAAACCTGTGTAAAGAAAGGACTAGAACAGGAGAAGCAGCCTGCGCACCTCCACATAGGTCTGGTCCCCGGATCCACCCACGCTTCTCCCAGCCCTGGGGACACTGACCGCAGGAAGGCAAACAGCTCCACCCGAGCTTTGCACTGATGGTGGGGGGCACGCTGCTCTCCTCCCACAAAGCAAATTTCATTTTGCCTTTTGTAGAAGATGGATGTGACTCATTTTCCCTTCTGAGGGTTATGTGATCACCTGCCACAGGCCACATCGTCAACTGAGTCACGAGTGCTGGATTGCCAGCTGTGCCCACTCCATCATGTTTAACGCCCAGAAGTTCTACAAAAGCCCGAACCCACAAAAAGTAACTTGACAGCAGGGCTCAGACTGGATCAGCTGTGAGGCAGGGTCTCACCGCGGTTCCCTCAGCCATCTTCACGGAGCCCCACGCAGACCCTTCCGTGTCAGCCCCTGTCCCTCCCCACCTTGCATCGGCAGTCTGGTCAAACGTGGCTTTAAATGCACCAGCACGACTGAACCTCCTCAAGAAGGCTGCTACCAGCTTCTGGCTGCCCGAATGGGGATCTCATCGACTGTCCCTATACAGTGCTCGCCGGCCTCCCAACCTTTCTTCTGGGCACCTTCCCATTCGTTTCCTGTGTGCTTTCTTGGGAACGTTAACCAGTTTTGTTTCTGTTTGTTTTTTTTTTTTCCCCCAGAATTCTAGGAAAGTGACATCTGTATGACTCACACTCCTGCAGCTTAAAAGGCATTTATTATATTTGATTGAGGCAGATGAGTGTTTTGCTAGATGCTTACTGTATGGATTTACGGCCATCTGTAACCATTCTGGGAAAGGGGAAAAAACATCAGCACCACTGGTTGTTAATGAGGCTTTGCCGTATCACTAAAACTGAGTGAAAACATATGGGATGAAATATCTTTAAATGATCTCATAAATGTCTTTATTTAGAAATACAACAGCTTTCGTTTATAATGCTAGTTTCAGGAATAAAGTTAACACCACTCTTAGAAGTTATATTCTACCACTCATGCTTGATGAGAGACTGATTTTTACAACCTCTATTGTTATTATCTAAAGGGCTTTACAATCTATAGGATCATAAGCTAGTTAAATAAACTATGCAAATTTATATGGACAAGGGCCTAAATTAATTCAGGTCTAAATAAATCAAACCCTAGCTAGGCTGTGATTTAATTAAAAATTGAAAATATGACTCATGGCACTTAAGTCTACTGATATGTGCTGCCAAAAGAGACATCACTGCTAAGACAGAGAAATATGGGAAGAGCTGATACATTCTTCAAGGTCAAAACTGAAAAAGGTATCAAGATAAACATGGCATTTGAAGACTTCCTATAATTCCTCAAATCAATGTCTTTAGGCCAGTTTTGGAATAAGTAAAACTCGCAATGTAGTCATGTAAATCCATAGATGCACATTTTTTTAAGTTTATTAATTTTGAGAGAGGGAGAGGAGAGAGAGAGAGCACGCGCAGGGGAGGGGCAGAAATAGAGGGAGAGAGAATCCCAAGTAGGCTCTGTATTGTCAGTGCAGAGCCAGATACGGGATTTGAACTTGCGAACCGTGGGGATCATAACCTGAGCCAAAGTCAGTCGCTTAACTGACTGAGCTACCCGGGCGCCCCCATAGATGTGCATTTTTATTGTCAGTTTATCTTCCTCTAGTTTTGGGGTTTTATGGTTCTCTTTACCTTCTTGTGAATATATATATAATTTTTTCAAGCTTTTTTTGTTCCTATTTTTTACTTTGTATGTTATTACTTTTCTAAAGTATTTTCTCCCTTCTGTTTTCTGAAATGGGCTTGCTGTTAGCAGCGCCCCTGCTGTGCCCCAGGTCCTTGGGCACATTTGACTGGTGAAGAAGCATCTTTCCTGGAACGAACGCGGATGATCTTTCACTGGCTCAGACACCTCTTCGGCCTTGTGTCCCCAACAAAGACCTGTGATCACTGTTGGATGACCCTGAGCATGAAGCAGATTTCAGGGCAGGGAGTGTGGGGCAGGAACATCTGAACCCAAACCGGGACACAGGAGGAGACCAGTATGTGTGTGCTTACATATCAGGAGAGCATTTGAAACGCAGGCTGTCCTGGAAATGTTAGGGCACACAGCCTGGGCAGCCACAGATCTGCATCTGACTCCCGCGTTCCAGACAGCACAGGGCAGGGGGAGAGGAAGCTGTGGCCCCAGCAAGACTCCAAGAAAGTCGAGTTTGTCTCCATTCCAGCTCTCTCCTCTTGTCTACCACCCGCCCCACCCCACTCATGACTGGCTCCTCGCTGGAGTCTCTGAGTCGCGCCATTTTGCAATAAATCCTTCCTTCAATTTTTCCAATGAAAACCTTTCTATCACATTGGGGTTTTAAGAAGAGTCTCTAAGGCATTCAGGCAAAGGAGTCAGTAAATTGGGAGTTTCGGGTCTCTGGTAAGGTGAGAAAGGGGATTCTCTTTGCAGCCAAAAGGTACTTGGGCATCCTCCAGTCCATACAGGGCTTCCCGGGCCTGTGTTCCACCTTGTCTTCCCAATGCCCAGTGCAGGAGCTTCTAATCCTCTGCAATGGGCTGGCTCTGAGAGCTGCAGGGACAGGATAGGGAAAGGTCGTCCCAGGCCCCTTGGAGGCTGGGAAACCCCGGAACTCTCAGCAGAGGACAAGGGTGGGGAATTCCCCATATGCTGACCTTGCTTAGGATTGGGAGGGAGCTGGTATAAATCTCTAAATTACTGTCCCTCGTTTTCATTCTTCAACATTGAACTTGCTCCTTCTTCCCCAAGATCTAGAACAACTTTGGGGAGACCCAGAGAGAAACACAATATTTAGGATCAAGGGTTAATTTAAGATAGCCTAGAATTTTCCTCAAGAAATAGCCAAAATCTAAGGTCTAGATGTCCTCTCACTGCCAGCTGTGACCAACCAGGAAGGGGAAGGGGGAAAATAAACAGTTCCTGAAACGACAGAGGCCAGAGCCTTTGCAAATGAATCTCACCTCCTGTCAGTTGATTTAATGATCCTGACTAACTCCTGAGGAGCAGTGAAGAAGCTGAAGGCTTCTTCCTCTTCTTGCTTCCTATCATCCCACTGAAGGCGGCCACCAGGCGAGCTGGGCAAGGCCATCCGTGAGCCTATGGCGCCACCTAGCAAAACCAGAAGGGACTCGAGAAGCACCGAGCTGGGATGTTTTCAGTGTTTGTTTTGGTTTGGTTTTTTTCCACAACCAGAAAAAGGGGGTTTCCATTTCATTCAGAGTTCTGGGAAATGGAATTTGTATAAAACCTTCCTTGCACATGATGGAAAACATTTATTAGCATCTCATCAGAGAATGCGGCCCCAAAGCAATTGTATTCAAAACATGAGGATGAGTTTAGTTCTCTAAACTTGCATTTTTCCCCCCAGTGACAGCTGTGACGATGCAGATTTTGCTTCAGGAAGAATCTGATTCTGCCTTAGCTTTTACATTTTGGAAACGGACAGAGCCACCATTCCTCCTGTTTTCCTTCTTGGTTTTTTCCTTTTCTCTCCCAGGTCAGACTCACCTCTGCATGATGCCCGGAAGTCCTGAAGGGAACAGAAGGTCACCAAGGACATATTCTAGAGGCAAGTTTAGGCACAGCTCAGTCAAGGGGACATTCTGACAATTTTCCAGTGTCACTATGCCCGCTGGAGTTCGGGGAACCGAGAAGAGGCTTCCCCTGTCCCCAGCAACCCAGCCCCATAAGGAAGCACTTGCCAGCCTGCGTAGCCACGGCTTATCCAGGCACCCAGGTGCACGCACCCACAAATGGACACAGTCCCACCCAGAGACCTGGAGAGCCTGCCCAGCAGAGGTGTGCACAGCTCGAATGAAAAGAGACTCAAGAAGTGGCTAACCTTCCAGCCAAAAGCTGTCTTGATGACCACATTGGAGAGACACCTGTCTTTACCTTTGAAAGGATGAGGAGAGCGGAGAGGCTGTGAACACGCACTCTGGAGCCAGATGCCTGGGTTCCATGTTTGCTCCTTTCTATTTAAGCCTCGCTTCAGTTCTCTACACAAAAAAAAAAAAAAAAAAAAGATCATTCTACTACCTGATGTTTCACAGGGTGAAGACTGAATGAGATAAACTATATAAAATGCTTAGGAGGAGGCTCGGCACATGGCAGGCACTTCATAAATATTAACTAGTGTTTTGTGATCTCAGGGTTTAAAGAAACAAACCTGAATTTCAGAGCACTCTCATAAACCAATTGTGGTTTTCTTTCCCATCTGAAGGTTTCATTAATTAGCACCGCAAACTGTGCTTGTGCAGCTAACCTCAGTGGCAAGTTCTTTGGATATTCCCACACTGGCCGCAGAAACAGGAGGAAATACATTGTCTTAAAAAAAATTCTTTTAGGAGGAAGCACCCAAAAATGTCTGAAGACCACCGAGCTAGCTCACATGGATGCTCAAATAGCAACGATCGGCATTGTTTTTCACTATGATCATTCTTCAACACCCAGCACTATCTGTGGTTGATTCAGGAACTTTCCTGAACACTCCTATGGAAATCAGGCTTCCTTTCATGTTTCATCAGTTAGATTAGAAGTTTCTTAAGAGCAAGGATCTCGTCTGGCCACTCCATGCCCCCAAGCAGCTAGAAACTAAACATTGTTTTGTACCTTCAAGTTAAACACCTAGACAATTTGAAAAGAGGTGATTTGGAGTCAGATGTTACTTGTCAACTGAATGGACACTAGCGCCAAATGAAAATCAGCCTTAACTTTTGGAGCACCTCTTCAGGCTCAGCCTCTGTGGATTGTCATTGAACTTGGTCCATTATCATCTTCAATCAGTGCCTTGCCAGAATCAAATTACAACACAACATTATGAACAGCCCATTTCTTAGGAAGTGGCAAACTGATGTCTTTTTCCCGCAAGGTGAGGTCCTGAAGAGTTTACCAGAAAGACTGACACAGTGAGTAATGCCAGTGAAACAGCACTTTATCTTTAGAAGTCAGGGGATGCACGTCAACGTACAGGACTGCTAAGGCTGAAGCGGAGCACAGAGCTTCCTTGAGCTTCACTGAGCAGGAGAAATGAGGTTGTGCTCAGGCATCAGTGATGGGGGAAATGACGCGACAAATGTCACATGTCGCATATCTTAGGCCTCGTGTGGCTTTTTAATTTAGTTCTAATTGAGCTGCAAAATAGATTATAAATATTAATTTGATCTAATAGTAGAGTAGTCTCCACTGTTCTGATTTCTTTAGGCTCATCCTGCAGCCGTACTGCATAATCCCACACTCTCATCTGAATTGGGTCAATAGTCCTTGATGAAAAATTCTTGCAACCTCTTTATAGGTGGGGAGTCAAGGATAGACGTTAAAGGCTTTTTGGACTGCCATATTATTTAGCATTCACTTCCGAGTCTAGCTGTAGTGTTCGTGTGAGGCACGCCCAGAAATACAATCTTCACCTGTTTATAATGACATATTTATGTAACAGCAGTTACATTCCTTGAGATCTTCTGACTTAGGGAAGAGTTCTTTATAAGTGAAAACTCTGTTCACAGCAATTGGAGCATAGGATCCCCTTCCTTATCATTACCATATAGTAATACACCAGAGCTAGGAATGGCTTCCTGTACCTTCATATCAAACCAATTCCCAGCCTCTTATATGCCACAATGGTCTAACTCAGTATAATTCTGTACAAATGATCTCTTTGGCTGCAAAATATGGTCAAGTACATATGCACATATACTTGAAGATACAGGACTTTATGAATCCAATATAATTCCACCAAAAAAATCCCCTGGGCCTTTGAGGAAACTTGGCAAGCAGATTCCAAAATATATATGAAAGAGCAAAGGACCAAGAATAGACAAGACACTCAAGAAGAACCATATGGGAGAACTTGACTTCCAGATATCAGAATTATTCTGGGGCTAAAGCAATTAAGGATATTGGTGGGGAAAAGTTTAGATGGACCAGTGCAGCAGAATACCAAGCACAGAAACATGTCTACATTTGCATAGACATGCGACTGTTTTTTTCTAGAGCTGACATTGCAGATACATGGGGAAAATATTAATTTTTTTCAATATATGAGTATATGGGAAACAAATTACTTGGTACTTTTTGTTTTGTTTTGAGAAAGGGTGCAAGCAGGGGAGGGGCAATGGGAAGAGGAGAGAGAGAGAGAGAGTGAGAGAATCCTAAGCAGGCTCCACTCCCAGCGCAGAGCCCAATGCCAGGCTCCATCTCATGACTGAGATCATGACCCGAGCAGAAATCAAGAGTCGATGCTTAGCCGACTGAACCACTCGGTACCCTGTTACCCACGTGTTTAAAAAAAAAACTGGAGCCCCTCACACTACAACTTCTGTAAAAGTAGAATTATAAAATTTATCAAAGATTAATATAGGGGTATAATTTTATGATTTTCTGGTTCATAAAGGTTTCTTCGAAAAAAAAACCAGATACCATAAATGATTCTTAAAATGAGAATCAATGAGAATCAACTAGGGGGACCTGGGTGACTCAATCGGTTGAGCAACTGACTCTGGATTTGGGGTCAGGTCATGATCTCATGGTTTGTGAGTTTGAGCCCTGCATTGGGCTACAATGCAGAGCCTGCTTGGGATTCTCTCTCTCCTTCTCTCTCTGCCCCTCCCCTGCTCGTGTGTGCATGCACAAAAGCGTACATTCTCTTTCTCTCTCTCTCAAAAATAAAGTCTTAGAAAAATGAGGTCAACTATATTAAAATTAAGAGTTTATGCTCCTTAAAAGATACCATAACGAAAGTAAAAAGGTAAAGCAGAAACTAGAAGAAGGCATTTGCAACACAAAAGATTAATCTCCAGAATATATAAAGAATCCCCATAAATCAATAAGAAAAAGACAACTGATGAATGGGCAAAAATTTGAAATGTGCATTTCTCAGAAGAGAAAGAAATAGACAAAAACCACAGAAAATGAACAATTTTATTAAAAATTAGAAAAAAATACAAATTAAAACCATAATGATCAGTTACCATATACCCAAGCAGTAAGAATACTGATGATAGCCAATGTTACTGAAAATGTACAGCAATAATTATGTTGGAAGATAATTTGGCACCGTCTAGTATGTTAGAAAAGTAGACAAACTCTATGACTCAGTAATTCCACCCCAAGGTAGAGTCCCTAGAGAAACTCATGCGCTGTGTCCTGGGAGATATGTAGAAGAACGTTTCATAGCAGCTCTGTTTGTTTGTAATTAGGGAAAGAATCCTGAAGACAGACGGAATGTTAATAAACAGAAGAACAGGTAAATAAATTGTGGCATATTCACAATGACTACATCAATGAACAAATCAAAAAGCCACACTCATTATGGATGGAATTCAGAAAGAAAACACTGAGTATAAAGCACAAGTAGTAGAATACAGTAAAACTTGGATAGTGAGTAACTTGTTCTGCGAGTGTTCTGCAAGATGAGCAAACATTTCTAATAACTTTTAACTTGATCAACGAGCGATGTCTTGCAATATGAGTAGGATGTGATGCCAAATGTCACACGATCACAACTGAGCCAATGGTTCTTGAAATTTGCTTTGAGGTACCAATGATTTGGATTATAACTATGTTTCCAGAACAAATTATGCTTACAAACCAAGGTTTTACTGCACATGCAAAATGACATCATTTACATAACATTCAAGAACATGTAAAATGAAACAATATGTTCTTTGGGGATGTCAATATATAAGATAAAACTATAAAGACAAGCAAAGGGATGATGAATACAAAACTGCAGGTAGTAGTTACCTCTGACAGGGAATCAGGAAGGCTTCCAAATAATGGTAATGGTCTTTCTTAAACTGGGTGGTTGGTAATAGATTTTTGTTGCATTATTATTATTTAAACTTCCCACACTTTATAACATTTTTATTTATTTTTTTTAGAGAGAGAGAGCGCATGCACGAGTTGGGGTGAGGGGTAGAGGGAGACAGAAAGAGAGAATCTCAAGCAGGCTTCATGCTCAGTGCAGAGCATGATGCAGGGCTTGATCCCACAAACCTGGGATCATGATCTGAGCTAAAATCAAGAGCAGGATGTTCAACTGACTGAGCCACCCAGCTGTCCCTATTTTGAAATAGTTTTATATTCATATAGAAATTTTTAAAGAGCAAAGTGAGTCCCCATGTATCCTTCACCTAGCTTCCCCTAGTCAATTATCAAAACAAGAAAGTTGACCTTGGTGCCACATACGATAAATTAAACTGTAGCCCTCATTCAGATTTTGCTGTTTTTTACATGGACTATTCATGACTTTCAGTGTGAGTGTGCATGTGTGTGAAGTTCTATCACACACATATTTTTGTGTAACCACCACCACCATCAAGATACGGAACTTCTCAGGGCACCTGGGTGGCTCAGTTGGTTAAGCATCTGACTCTTGATGTCGGTTCAGGTCATGATCTCAAGGTTCATGAGCTCGAGGCCCACATCGGGCTCTGCTCTGTGCTGATAGTATGAGGCTGATTTGAGATTCTCTCTCTCTCTCTGCCCCTCCCCTGCTCGAACTCTCTCTGTCTCTCTCAAAAATAAATACACTTTTAAAAAAAGATACAGAACTTCTCCATCACCACAAATAAACTTGATAGTCTCACCTACTCCCCAACCCTAAATCCTAGCAACCGTCTGTTTTTACTACTGTAATTTTGCTACCCTGTTTATTTGTTTAATGTTCTTTTGTTTCTATTTAATACCTTTTAAAAACTCTACCTCCAAAGGAATGAATACTTGGCACGTAGAAAGGAGATCCCCACCATCTGTCCTGAGCCTATGTGGTGAACTTTTCCCAGGCTTGCTGAATAGCCAGGCACCTCGTGTTCCCCACAACTCACCTTCCTCACCCCCTAAGAGACCACAGGTAATGGTAAGAACACTTTTTTCTCTTTAGAGGGTCATGTCAGCATCAGAAGACAACCCTGTCTTCGCTAACTTGCCCTTCCCCCTTGCCCTCGGGCCACTGCAATGGGGTAGCAGCTTATGACAGTTTCCGTTTCAGAGGGTGAAG